TTGGGAATCACTTGTCACTGCACAAAATATATTTCGCAGGCTTACAAAAGTCTGTAAAGATTTTTTAGATCTCATTCTCTTCTTCGGGGCTGGGGATTTAGCTCAGCGGCACAGCACCTGCCTGGCAAGTGCAAGGTCATGAGTTTGATTCCCGGTACTGGAAAAAAAAAAACAACCCCAGAAAAGGAAAGAAATATCTCATTCTCTTCTTAGTTTCAGTTTTCTCAAATGAAGACAGATTTTATAAGTGATGTCAGGTAACTCTTGGTAACATTATACCACTGTTATGGTTTGTGTCTAGATGTCTCCCCCAAAGCCTCATGCACTTTTAAATGGGCTTTTTCAAAGAGAGATGAATCTAGAATTTGTGATTTGTGTCTCAGTGCTAGGATGAAGGGTGCTGGGATTAAGGCTGGGTGAGTTTTGGATCAATCCACTGATAAGATGGGCACCGCCCTCATCCGAGCAGTCTGGTTAAAAAAAAGCAGAAAGAAGCTTGTTTCCCCTTTTGTGGGTGTTGCTTTTACTGTCATCTTCCTCCCTGCCATGAACTGTTGCCCCTCTGCCATGTGCTGATTATGGACTGAAACCTCTACAAACTGTGAGCTAAATAAACCTTTCCTGCTTTAGCTTTGGGTGTTGGGAATTTTGTCTCAGCAATGAGAAAAATAAAACAACCACTTTCCAATATTTCAACTCTTTATTTTCTTTCTTTTCCATCTTTTTTTCTATATTTTCTTCTTTATAATCTCTATAATAAATTGAATTCCTGCTGTGTGCCAAACAAAGCTCATTCTTATATCATCTATGCAAATGAAAACACAGAGACTCAAATAATAAGTACACATGGCCCTCAGCAATGGTCCAACTTCTGATTTTTCAACTTTATGATGATACAAAAAAGATATATATTCAATAGAAACTGCACTTGAACTTGGAAATTTTCCTGGACAAGTAACACATTAATATTATCCCTTAGTTATTATGGACTGATTGATACAGGAAAATAAAAACTTCCAAACTGAATGATATCTGGGACTATCTGAGACGAATTCATGTTCTCTAAAATCAAAGAATGAATTTTAGAAACAACAAGAGCAGAGTGTATTTATTGAGGGAAAGAAAGCTTCTGTCCAAGAGAGGGACAGAAGGGGGGCCCGAGTGAGTTACCCCAAGACTCTGTCTTTTCTAGGGACTTTTATAGAGCAAAACCACGAGGTGAGGCGGGTCCAAGGTAGGGGAAAATGGACAAAACTATGGTCAGCCAATAAGAATTGTTCAGGTAAAATTGATTAAATTGAGATCAAATGGGGAGGCGAGTCACATAGCAAGCCGGCATGAACACAGAACAGAGGCTTTTCCTGTAAGGGGTTGAGTCAAGGACTCTTCAAGGTGATCGCTACCTGTTTAGAATATCATCCCTGATGTCAATCCCTAGGGAGGTATGTGGGTGCATTTGTTTAGTCCTTTGTGTTGAAGTCTGGCCCACAGCAAATACGTATCTTCATGTTGGCTCCTTTGAGGGCCTGGCCCTGTCTGACTGCCTATAATATTTCTGACTCAGCTACCTATAACGTGATCAGGCCAGCAATCTCCCAAATGAATGCAGGCTTAAATAAAACAGTCAAGTGGTATGATTTTAGGACTCAGGAATATTAAAACCCTCTAGCAGAATTTGAGATTCTCTGGGGGCTAAAGATCTTCTCTGGGCAGCCCATATTTATTTAGTTATCAAAACAAAGGAGGGGAATACTGAAGAAAGGTGGGAATCTGAGCAGGACCATTCAAGGACCTTGGAAGTCTGCTCAAGGACTTCTCCATGCAAGACATTATGTTAATTTTGGGGAACTGTGTTATCTCCAAGAAGGTCTCCACCCAGGAGTGAGATGCCTGCAGCTATGTAGTCTTTATCTAGTTAATTGAGGTTAGAGCCAGGTGTCTTTAGCTGTGGCCTTGTCTTGTCCTTTGAGGCATCTGAGGTTCACCAGGCACTACAAGCCTCAGGTGGGACCAGTGACTCATAGAGGTTCATTTACTGTGAGTCTGCTGCCCAACTCCAGACAAGGGGCCTAGGTTTTGGACAGACTCACAAGTAAACATAGCAAACCAATTGGTTAATTTAAATCCTGCTCGGAGGGGCTGGGGATATAGCTCAGTGGCATAAGCGCCTGCCTGGCAAGTGCAAGGTCGTGAGTTTGATCCCTGGTACCGCAAAAAAAAGAAAAGAAAACAATAAATCCTGCTCGGAGCTGCTTTGTAGTGGTCTCCATCAGACCAGCAACATGTAGTCCCAGTCAGCCTCATGATCACAAGGGGAAGCTACTGAGACAGTCCAGTATACTGTGTCACCAGCATACTTTAGATATCGGTATTCAATAAATTACATGAAATAGAGCACACACACACACACACACACACACACACACACACACACACACACACAGTTTTGGAGCCAGGATCACATCATGTTCCCAGGTACCCATGAGAACGTTCATTCCTCCTGACTCAGCTTCCCTAATAGCTGGGAAGCTGGGATTACAGATGTCACTGTATTATAAAATAGGCTCTGTGTTAGATAAACTATAAACTAATGTAAGTGTTCAGAGCATGTTTAATGTAGGGTAGGCTACGTGATGACGTTCAGTAGGTTATATTTTAAAAGCATTTCTGATTTAAGATGTTTTCAGTTTACTGTGTATTATCAGGGCATAAACCCATCGTAAGTCAAGGAGCGTCAGCATGGAGGTGCCACACACCCGAGGTTTTAGTCTGCCTTTAGTCCTCGTAAACCACAGCTTTTCCATTGTTGTTATACTGCTTGCTTCTCCTCGCCTCTGTTCTACCACATGCTGCCCTCTGCCTTTCCCTTTTCATTATTTAACTGTAATAAAGTACACATATCATAACGTTAACTGTCTTAACTCTTTTTAAGCATATGGTTTAGTGGCATTACATTCATTCACATTATCCAGTCACCACTACCATCCACCTCCAGATCTGTTTTTGTCTTGTAAAACTAAACCTCTGCCCCATTAAGCACTGATTCCCCATTCCCTTTCTCTCCATTTCCTGCAGTTACTGTTCCACTTTCTGTCTCTCTGCCTCTGATCACCCGAGGAATCATACAGTATCTGCCCTTTTGTGATTGACTTCACTTAGCGTAATATCCTTTACGTTCAGCCATGTTGTAGTGCATGCCAGCATTTCCTTCCTTTCTAAGGCTGAGTACAATCCCACGGCATGTGCGCACCACTTTTTGTTTTCCATTATATCTGCAAATGGGTGCTTGGGTTGTTTGCATCTGTCCCGTGGATGCTGCCTTTCCTTCTGAGTGCATCCTCCTTTCCTTCTGCCTGTACTGTAGGCTTGTCTGTGGAGCCATAGACATTGCTTACTCTCACTGACAGTAATGAGGCCTAGAAAGTGACCTCATGACTGTTAAGCCCTGGGTCATTTCCCCTTTTATTGGGGGTAGAGGGTCAGGTTTTGGTATTTGTTTTCTTTTCCTAGCTTTGCCTGTTTAAGTCTAGTTATGTATGGTAATGAATGCCTATTCTGTCATTCATTCCCAAGTTTGTATTTCTGCCCTTTGTTACCACTGGATGGGACTCTGTTGGAACGCTTTGCACCTTCAGAGGAATTGTGTCAAACAACCGACCAACACCTTTACTGACTGTAAGACATTAGGCTAGAGGTGTGAGATAGTACACAGAGGATTGGAATGGGAAGATAGCGAAAACAGAGGTTTGGTTCCCAACTTCAGTAAACTTTTGACTTCCAAATATTTCTTACTTTATCACTTACTTAAAATGACTTGGGAATTTTGTTAGATTGCTTCAATATATCAATTACTCTCTGCTGAAATGACTTGCTCTGCTCCCCTCCCATCCCCCCACTGGAACATTTGGCAATAACTGGAAGCATTTCTGCTTGTCATAACCGGAATGGGTCTAGTGGGTGGAGGCCAGAGCTGCTAACCGTCTCAGTGTGCAGGACAGCAGAGAATGATCTGGTGCAGATGTGGGTAGTGCAGACACTATGAGGCCCTGCAGTATCACCCAGTTTAGACCAGTTAATCATCTGGTAAAGAACGTGAAAAGACATCAGTCATTTCCCCAAGGAAAATGTCTTTATGATAATATGGTAACTTGAAATCAAGCTAGCATTTCCCATACTGTAACTCTTTTCTAACACAAGATATAAAATATTAAGTGATAAAGTAGAATTTTTAATACCTAAGGAAACTTTCGTAGTAAAAATTTTACTTTAAAAACATAATGTAACATTTCATGTATCAACGTGTATTCACTTATATTTAATTATTGATAAAGAAAAAGACTTTGGCTTGACTCATAAACATTCTTTGAATTAGAAAGGTTGTGTAACTACCTCCTACATATTTCTCTCTTAATTGTTTAAACTAACATTATATTTGTATCTTGATCCCCATGCTTATCTCCTATCTTCTGTTAAATGAAACTAATGGAATTAGTTGAACAAATAGAATTAGCTGCAAAGAGAATCATTTGGAGGTGTGCAGACCTCATGCCAGGTGTTTAAAAAGACAGAGATGCTTGAGACTCAGTGGCCACCCACGGCTCTAAACCAGTCTCTGCAAGGCCAGGGAGGATGGCCGTGGAGCCACTGGCCAGAAGTTGCCCTGTGCCAGAGCCCCAAGGACATGAATTGTAAGGCTTGCCTCACTGGAAAGGATCTTTTAGGGTTGGCCCCAGAATAATGGGAAGGCATAAATCAGATCAGTATGTTGTCCTTGCTCGTCCCCTGCCCTTCAACGTCTTCAGTGCTGGGCGTGAAAATTGGTGTTCATAATAATTCTGAAATTGCTCCTTAGTCATCAAAAGAATTATGAATTCAGACTTCATGGTCTGGCTCTATATAAAGGTCATCCTAGAAAGGACTCCTTGCACGTGTGAAGAAATGCATCCTCCAGCATCTGAACTATGCACAGCTGTACTGAGAAATCCATTTTTCTGTTCCAGAACGTGGGGAGAAGGCAAGGTGCTCATCTTTGATGACTCCTTCGAGCATGAGGTGTGGCAGGATGCCTCGTCTTTCCGGCTGATACTCATCGTGGATGTGTGGCACCCAGAGCTGACACCTCAGCAGAGACGCAGCCTTCCCGCAATTTAACAGGAGCTCATGCGGCCTTGGGACATTCTGGAGAGATGCTGCCTTTCTGGTTCACTTTGGTTGTGGACACAGAAGTTCTAATTCAGTGACTTGTAGCCCGGAAAACCTGAGCTTCCTCCTAGAGTTAGACTCTAAATAGAGCATCTTACCTGCTGCAGTTCATCTAGAAAACACCTACCATAGCTCATCCATGACCGCACTGACCATATGCCCATGTTTAAGGTGAACACTTGGTAGCTTCTACCTTGCCAGCCAAAGGTATTTTTACCATGTAGAGTAGGTCTAAATCAATGTACAATGGGAATATATGTAGAAACTGTGAATAGATTGCTTTAGTTTGTAATTTTTCTATGCAGTTATATTTTTCTAGGGTACTTAAACTATTTTGGCATCATGTACCACTACTTTTTTATGGACTACAATGGCAAGCTTTAATTTTAGCTGTATAAATGCTTTGAGCTGTTCAGTGGTAACTCTCCTGGTGAATTTAGACTTCTTCCTTTTCTTTTTAGTAAAAGACACTCATGAAAAAGCCAATTTTATTTTCCTCATACAGAAGAGGAAAATGTAATTATGCCAGGGTCTATTACCTGTACAGATCCTTACTCTTGAGTCTGCTTTTTTATCTTCCCTGAGATGCGGTGTTAGCTTCTCTAACTATGCAAATGGTGGAGGTATTGTCAAAACCTTATTTCTTTCTGAGAAGGACTTTTTATATAGAAAAAAGACAAAGAATCATTTTTACTATGATGGAAAAATGCCACATGTAAATTTTTTAATGCCAAATATTAGGGCTTGGGGAAAACAATATAAATTTGTGAAAGTAAATAATCTGTCAGCATTAGGTAGCTAGGTAGGTGCAAGGACACCTGGCTCCTGGAATCTTTGCCATCCATAATACAGGGCCTAGGAATCCAGGGTGTTTTCCTAATGTAGATCCGTTTTCATGGCAAGAAGTCAGCCCTTTGGTCTTTGAGAGAGTTCTCATCACAGTTTCATAAATATAAGAACAGCAGAGGCGCTAGTCCAAGGAATGCGAGGTATCCTTGTCTCAGGTGTGAGAGGTCAAGATTGCTTTCCTTTTTGAAAGAGTTTGAAGATTCTTGGCTGGAGAAACTTCTGCCAGTTAAACATCATTTTGAGATAGTAATTAATATCCATATTTAGTTTTAATATTACCCACAACATAAAGTAACAGCTGAAAGTGGTCTTGTCTTCTCATTCCAAAGATGATCAAGTCAGTAATTTAAGAAAGAATGCATTTCATTTTGTATTTTTAAAATTAAAGCTAACTATAAGTATTAGCTATCAGAGGGTAGTGGTATTTATGCACTGAATTCTAAGCCAGCATGAATAAAAATACTGCAGGAATGGCATGTAAGTCACCAGATTTCATGCACAAGTAGAAAAATCACTTGTGCTTTCTTTACAGTCTAGTAAAGAGTTTTCAAAATGTTTGTCATATTCTTAAAATATAATTCTGTTCCTTCTATGTGGCCAATGTTTGAAAATTCCACTAAAAAGACAGAGATTCATGGGAAGAAAAATAACAAAGTTAATACTAAAATCCAGAAAAGAAAAAAAACAACTCTTGAAAAATGAAAAGATGTTTGTGTCCTTCAGTATTTATTAAACAGGAAAAGACTGACAAAGGGCAATACAATCCAATGTTCATGTAGTACCAATCATGTTACTTATTCAATTTGGTTTTCCTGTGTAAATTGCATACAGGTAAACAAATGCAAACCATATGTTGTCACGGTTGAACCATCCTCTTACATTCATTTAAGGAAACTGTGGAAAAGAGTAAAAACTAGCTCTTAACTTAGTAAGTATAATGTGGTGTTTAACAATTGTTCACTACAGTAGGTTCTAAATATTGCCAACTGAAAAGCTGGAAGTATTATTACTGCTCCAAAGGGCTGGCAATAGTCAACTCCAATAGTATTTTAAAATACCTGGATCCCACACTTATTTAAAAAACCCAAGCAATAAAATGAATTTTCCTAGTTCATTTTAGAACTTCATTTCTCTTACCTATATTTTGTTACATAAGTATTTCAGCCACTGCATTGGTAAAATTATTTCAGTATTATTGTTTTATAATTTGAAGTGTCTATGCAAAATGAATTGATTTTATTTATACTGTGATGCAATTGTGCGAGAAAGATTTTTAATTCTAATTCAATTCTATACTTCAAAGGTGGAATATAAAAATGACTTTTATTATTCTCTACCTGTAAAAACTAATTAAAACATTAGATCGATTGAGGAAGAGTATAATAAATTGTTAAGATTAATTATATCTGTTGAGGGTGATTATGGCCAATTAGATCAATCACCTCGTTACTCTGAATTGTTCAGCTAACAAATCAACTCTCCCAAATACCTCATTGTAAAATCACTTTTTACTGCCCGTTATCCACTAAAATATTTTCGCTTTGACATTGAGCACCAATTGGTCATACTAATTAATACCACGTCATGTAGATGGCTGGTCAAGTAAGATATACCTAAAAATATACAACTGATCTTGGGAAACATGACACAAATAATTGCCTGTGACATCTGTGTATTTTACATTGAATTTGCTTTGAATGGATAGATGGGGACTCCATTGCTATGAATAATAGATAAAGAAATAAAGTGATCTTTGGCATTTTGTCCTGCATTTCTAGTCTTCTCCTCTGTATGTTATCTTCCTCCATGACTGAATAGCCCTGCACTCATCAGTGGCCAGGCCCTTTCTTTATACCTGTAATGACTGTAGGAGAGTGGAGGGTTAAATGGTTTGGTAGCACTTTTCTTGGCTGTAGGACCCAAGTGAGCCAACTTTAATGGGTTTATTAGTCACTGACATGTGTCTTCAAGAGATGCCTCTTCTTTGGGTTCTCAAGATGCCTGTGGGAAATCGCATTGCTAAGGGGAAATCATACTTCAAATTGCATGTGTCTTCTAAAGTCAACTTGTGAATGTCAGCTGGTGGCCTGACAAAAAATGTAACATCAAAATCATTTTTTGCAGGGTATCAAAATAAGAAAACTGCAAACAGCCAGACCTAGGAGAGCATGCTCTTAGGTTGAACAATTCTATGCTGGTGATGAGGTCAAAGAACAGAATTCAATAAGAATGAAAATTAGGTATTATGTCTCAGGGCTCTACACAACATTGAACTTGACAATCATGTCTGCACAGTTTAACTGTGATGTATTTACTTGGAAATGCACTTAATTTGTAGAAAGTAGAGAGGGTCCCTGTGTGATTTCTCAAAAAAATCCTCATCCTAGTACAGTGTGTACCTCAAATTTAGTTTTTTACTTTTTAAATTCATTTGATACTATAAGTAGGTAGGGAGGGAGAACGTTTTTTACATGAATGCCTTGCTTTATCCCCCAGTCTCTTCACTAAAACAAAAAGCATCTCTAAAAGCTCTGTCCAACTTTGGCTGCTCAGACCGATGGCTGTTGACAGTCGTTGCTGGGGGCAGGAGTGGAGGACCTTGTGTTAAGCAGAACGCACGTCTCTGTGTGGGCCAGTTGCACGTGTGCTTTCTGGGCGGCTGGTACCACTGAGTCTGGGGTGCGGGAGCATCAGGGTGGCTTGGGCTCAGTCCAGAGCCAGGAGTGGCTGCGTGTTCTCATTTTCTCCCTTCTCCTCATGTTTCAGGGTCCCAGCTTCTACCACAGACTGAGATCTAACAAGAGAGGAGAAGAAAGATGCATTTACAAACAACTCATGGTGGCAACAATTTTGAAATCTTTGGGGCTATTTCAGTTTTTTATTTGCCTCTTTAATCAAGATAAGTCAAAACAACTCTGTAGATTTTTTTCTCCTTTTTTGTATTTTTGTCTTTCCTGTGTTTTCTACACCACATTTCAATGGAGAGGGACCTCTTGGAGTCTTAGAATCTTTTCAGAAATTTCTTCTGTTGCCAGAGGGATACATGTGTTCCACCCACAACTCTACCCCATTGTTTAAGCATTCTGTAGATTTTGAGGTTTCTACAGTCAGGTAGTATTGGATTTTTAGTGTTTCTATGTTCTTGTTTTAAATCCTTTGTTTCCAGATCATCGGAAGTTACCATGCATGTGTTAAGACCAGGCTGTAAAACCACCTGGTAGGTGTAGACACTGCCCTTACTGGCTCAGAATCTTAGAGGAATTCTCAAAACTCTGTGGACCTTTCTTCTCTTGCTTATATGATAATATTACCTGCCTCCCAGAGTTGTTGATAAAGTTTAAAACTAATAATATATATGTAAGTAATTTGGCATGAAATTGAAGTGCAAATTTATGAAGCAGTCTCATCAATATTGCAATAGAAGTAGTGGTGTTTAGTTTCAGAAGTGTCTTCTTATATTAGAATAATAATGATTTCTTTCCTAAGATTACAAACAACATAGACTAAAAATTGAATTATTTTATAGCTTACAGAGAAAAGATTATAAAAGCAATGCATGCAGTGGGTATTTAATGTTCATATACTAAAAAATTATTCAAAATATAAAAAGATTTCTTAGATGAAAGTTTACGTATATGTGCAGTAAATAATTTAACTCAGCAGACCTCAGTTATTCAAACCCTGAACACTCCCAAAGTCATCAAGACTGACCTTTGACTGGTTCCCCTGTGCACTTGACACATCTTGCCTAATACGAATGTCTTTCTGTATCTGATGTTTTGAGGTACGTGGGATGTTTTATGCTAACAGGGTAATGCATGGTGAACGCTTATTTTTGTATACCTAGCTTTGTTTAGATCACACTGTATCTGTTTGCCTATTCTGGCAAAGGAGAATGACATGCAGAGGCTGAGGACTGAGGACTGGCACACAAGGTCAGCCACATGAGTACTACACACCTGTGAATCTGACCTTGAACATAAACCCTGGACACGTAAGCACCGGGAAGCCTCTCAGTCCGCACAGTGTCAAATACCATTGCTGAGAGAGGTGAATTCTGTCCGTGTGGCTGGGCTGCAAGTACTCCATAGCCTTGCATCTAGTCTTCCCTGGACTCCACCCCAGGCACATCGTTTCCCTTGCTTATTTTAATCTCTGTCTTCTTGCTGTCATAAACCATAACTGTTAGTATAACCATTTTTCTGTGTCCTGTGAATCTGTCTAGCAAACTCTCAAAAACAAAGGCAGTCCTGAGGGCTCATGACAAAATAAATAATAACACTAATATTTGTTTTATTAGCATTTGGTATTGCTCTAAGAAATTCTTTACATTTACGAACCTATTTCATTTTCACCACTTGGAGGGATGGTGCTGGTATTTGTCTCCACTTTACAGGTCGGGGGACAGAGTTCAAAACATCAAATAACGGGAAAGGCAACACAAGTGGAGAGTGGAAAGTAGGACAGGTTTATTACCACCAAATTGCTCTTGGGTGTGTCTGAGGCCACAGAGCTGGTTAGCTGAAGTTGTTTCTTCACCTCACTGTGAAACTTAATTTTCTGCTTAGATTTCTTATCTCCTTTTAAGATATGTATGCACCTTAGAAAGCACAAAACTAAGTAATCAAGAAGAAAATACGTACAGTTGCTTCAGAAAAATCAGTTTCTATTATAAATACCAATCCCTTCAAACAATGCAACTTTAAATACCAAGCTTAATCTCTGAAAGTGAAATGGATTCATGTACTTCTGGGGTGGAACAGAGGAAGCCACAGGTGGTAGCTTAGCCTATGCTTTTGACACAGTTCCTATGCATTTCTCTCTTTGTTTTAGTTAAAAATCTGTAATGTATGTGTGTGTGGGTGAGGGGTGTTGATTTATATAAGGAACAGAAAACCTGAAAATCTAGAAGACGTGAAAGCAGATAGCAAACATGAAATCCCGAGGAGGACAACCACCCCCAAGGACCACCTCTCTCCAGCACCTCGGACAGCTGCCGGAGCGGCCCTGCACTGAGGGCCCTTGTGAAACAGGAAGCTGATGGCTTTCTATTTTCAGAAGCTTGGAACTATCTTCTCTTTTGTCATGTGAGCAGTTTTATGACACAGCATGTGAACCATAGTCAGCAAGTTAGGTAAAAACCTATTGACTGATCTAGATCAACTGGTAGGAAATTTTCAGTAAAGGCCATGAACACCTCTTGAACATATCCAACTTGACAATGCCATTTATTCATGCACTTAAAGAGGCAAACGCTCCTTCATCAAACTCAAACCGGAATTTTCAAAACTTATGCATACTTTTTGAGTGCTGCCTCCTGGACCTACCAGCTTACCGTCATTGTTGAGTATCTGTGAGGAATGGGTTTCAGGACTGACTCCTGTGGATATAAAAATCCACAGATTCTAAATCTTTTACGTGAAATGGTGTAGTATTTGCATACAACCTATACACATCCTCTTATATACATTAAATCATTTGTACAATACTTAGAGTACTTAATACAATGTAAATGCTCTGTTGTTATACTGTGTCGTTTAGGGAATAATGACACAATAAAAAAGTTTGTACCTGTTCAGTCCAGACACAGCATAACTATCATAGGCCTAACTGTACAGTACAGAAATAATGTAATATGTTTTTCTACAAATATTTTCCGTCCATAGCTGTTTGAATCTATGAGATGGAAGCCATACATATGGAGACCTGACTGTATGTTCAATCCACTCAGTCCACATAGCAATATTTAGTTAATGCCCTCTAGTCCTACCACACCCTCACCAATGTTAATCAGATTTATCTTATGCCAGTAGAATTTATGACCTCAATACTCCTTTGTGTCTCTTCACCAGCTAGGTGAATTTCCCACAATATTCCTGGTGGGACCTCAGAATAGAGTGAAATGATTGTTTTTGCTTCTGTTGAGGGTATCTATGACCCCATTAGCATTTCTGGCAATGATGTAACACAAAGGAAGAGCTGTCTGTATTTACAAATTCTGATGTTAACACATTTCTCTCCCATCTTGAAGGTGCATGATTATTAAATTTCATCTTCTTGAACTTGCCTAATGTTTCTAATCTATCTATATTCTTCGGATCTTAAAATTTTTTAGCCATCCAAAGCAAAATCTGTGATTTAATGAGTACTGAATTTGTTTCTACTCTTTCTCTCACCCACAATGGAGACCACAATGGAGGAAAACAACTAAATTCCCTAATAATAAATTCTCAAATAATCATTTGTTTACATTGGCTCATAGAAATATTTGTGAATATCTCTTGTGATATGCCAAAGTCTATGAGCAAGTGTGCAGAAACCTTTCATGCTTTGGTGGAAATCCTCTTTAGTCACCCAGCCATATGCTGACAAACAGACATTCAATCACTGTAAAAGGCACCCCATTACTGTGCCAGAGAGGGAAGGTATTAACTAGGAAAGGAAGGGAGAGCAAAGAAAAAAGAGAAAGAAAGGAAGGAAGGAAGAAAGAAAGAGAAAGAAAGAGAAAAAGAAAGAGAAAAGAGAAAGCCTTTCACACAGTGACATCATTCACCATCTTTGCTCAGAAGACTGACATTCTCCCACCACACGGAGTAAAACTAGGATCTTTATTCTTTTGTTTAGTTGATGTTCTGGCAAGTGAATATCTGGAATGCAGGCTCTCTTAGCCAATAATATATATGACTGTGTTAAATACTAAAAGGACAATTCTTAGGTACAGATCATGAGAAACCAAACATAACATTTTTTTCCTGGTTTCTATTTTCCCTGGTTCAAAAAAAATGATCATAGGGGGTGGGGATTTAGCTCAGCGGCACAGCACCTGCCTGGCAAGTGCAAGGTTGTGAGTTTGATTCCTGGTACCAGCAAAAAACAAACAAACAAACAAATAATCAAGAATTTTTACTTTTAAATTACTTTCACTTTTTTAAAATTAATTTTACTTTTAAATTAAATTAGTGCATCAACCTTAAAAAAGCCTCTTGCATGAGACTGTTATCCAGCTCCCTCTTTCTGGTAATCTCTCCATTTAGTGGCTCTGCCTTCTCACAAGAAGTCTAGCACTTCTGCTAAAACAAATATTTCTCTTGGATCCTCTTCCCAACAATGAAAGCCAGTGTCTTAGTCACTTTCTCCTTACTGGGACACAGTACCCAGTACCTACAACTTATAGGAAGGGAAGTTTATCTTGGGTTTACATTTTCTGTTCATAGTTGGCTAGGAAAAAACAATAGAGTGGTGGGAGGGTCTGCTGGAGGTAAAGCTGTCCACATTCTGGGGATCAGAAGGCAAAGAGAAAAGGGCGGGGATGGGAAGGGAAATACACCCTTCCAGGTCACACTCAGAAGTTCACCTCCTTGAACCAGACTCCATCTCCTAACAGCACATTTAACTTCTGAACTAGTTGGTGGATCAATCCACTGATAAGTACAGCATCTCCATGATCCAATCACCTTCCATAAACATGAGAATTTTGGAGATCATTTAAGATTTAAACTAAACAGCCAGTTTAAACCCAAAGGCAGGCAAGGGAATGATGGAATTGATTTGAGTTAGTTCACCTTTCAGTACCTTAGTGGTATAATAGATGACTCAGAATGTTTAATTCTAGCCCTGATACCAGTATTCTCTCTCCCCCTCTCCACCCCTTCATTCCATCTTCTCTTATTTGCCCTTCTGCTTTCTCTCCCTTTGATTTCTTTCCTCAAATTTGGAAATTTCCCCAATTCATATCATTAAAGATTAATGGCTGTGGCTAAATTTTTACTCATTCCAGGGATGAAAAATTACAGG